ACACACACACACACACACACACACACACACACACACACACACACACACACTCGCCAGTGTGGATGTTATAAAAGTTCACTTTTTTATAGTCTGTATTTTTCATGTGTGCGGGGGGATGTGAGGGGGTGAGGAGACGGTCAGCTGCAGATAACAGAGCAGGCAGGAGGGAGAGGACAGGGGAGAAGAGTGGTGAACTTATTTCTAACTTTATCTGATTTATTTAATTTTATTTGTTGTTTTTATCGTCCTGCAGGCTCTGAGAGAAAATTAATTTGAAGCTGAATTTGTGATAAAAATCGTTAGATTACTCTAAACGTCTGTAAACCTGGAAAATGAGGGAAAATCTGTGTCAATTACAGACATTCTGTTCACCTGAGCAGTTGTCAGAACCTGTCATCCTCCCACATGGGGTGTGTTCTTATGATCAGCTGATACACGGAAGATATCTGATTTTTTCTTTTTTTTTGGCTAATATCAGACCGATATCTAACAGACATCTGTGTGCATCAGATATGCATGTCTGAATCTTGTCTTGTGCATGTGTGAATCACGTGTTTGCATTTGTGAATATTGAGACCCTTTTAGATTTCTATATATTTGCAATATTCTGTAAGTCACACTTAGCCAACATRTGCACATGTTTAACAGAATTTTTTTAAAGTTCTTCCGAATATTTCAGATTGCTAAAAGCGACCATATATGCATACACCTTAAAAGCCCTGGATAAAAACACAGACAAGCATAAACTGTTCTGACTTGATGACCTAGAGATAATTAAAGCGAGTGTCAGGGCAGATGGGGTGGAGCTGTGTGCTGCACATTACTGCATACAAAGCTATAGTTTGTATCTCACTTTCTGCTCCCTCACCACAGCTTTTAGAGAATGTTTTATGGTCTTCCTTGGATTATATTTTCTGCACCTCAGCTGCCAAACTAAAACCTACTGCCTAGCTCGGCTGTCAGCTCACTGTTTTTTGTTACTTTGAGTCAGCTACTTTTAACTGCTGATATGAGCCTACATGCATCTGGAGTAGGTCTGTGTGGTATATGCGGTAGACAGTAGGAACAGTATGAAGTTGGCCTACAGTAGAAATTTACCCTCTACCGTCACATCGTCAGTTACGTCATCGCACCGGTGTCAAGAGGGCTGCGAGTGCAAAGACAACTGAGCAGGAAGAACTCGAAATATAATGAAAAAATATAGCGTTTTAAAACATGTATAGAGAGAATAAATCCCCAAAATGTCCCCCTCCCGCTGTAGAAAAGTTATAAATGGATCGAGAATAAATTTGATTAATTTAGGTCATGTTTGAAAATATCTTAAATTTTCAAAATTTCAAGCAAACACTGTTTGATAAATCTTCACCTAAATCTTTACAGACTTGCACGACATGATCATCCCTGCAGAATATGGTATTCTTGCAGGAAATATTTCACACTACACCAAGACTGCTACATGAGTAGCAGTAAACTTTAGCTCAATRTCTGTAAAACTTCCAAAGTCTGTGCAATTTTTGTGTTTGCTAAGGTTGCTGAGCTGTGGCAACCACATTGATTTAGATTGACTCAGAGTTAACAAGTTGTAGAGTAATTTCTGAGAGTTTTATTTAAATCTGTCCAGTGGTTCATGGGAAATTTTGGTAACTCAAACAAACATGAATGCAGAGATGAGCAAAAACATCATTACATTGGCTTTCGGCAGAGGGTGATAATATTCAAGTAATGCAAAATTGACACCATGGTAAAGATTTAAAACACAAACTGCTGTACGGTTTGAAAAGTCTCACTATTTTTAAAAAAGCTTTTTCTGTGTCTCTCCTCAGATTGTGCAGTCTGACTCTGAAGAAGCTGGTTGTTATAAGGGAACTTGATAAAGAGTTGATCTCTGTGGTCATTGCAGTCAAAATCCAGGTAAGTTTTAAAAAAACCTGCAGCTGGAGGGTCTTTTACAAACTTTCCACAGTATTTTGCCATCGTATTTCAATCTGATTGTAATTATAGGTCAACAATATACTCATCTCACTAGATGATATGAGACAGGTTCTGGGTTCACAAGACTGACACAAGCTTTTGTCAATTATTTATTATGAAAAAAGCTTTTCCCTCAAACTCAACTGACTGGTACAGGCCCATAGTGTGTGTGTGTGTTGGGGGGGGGGGGTCTTTTTGGGAAAGTGAACCTTTGAAACCAGAGGTATGGGGGCTGCTTAGTTCCCTCCATATGTCCAGGGGCAAAGCTCCAGCGACGGTCACAGGGTGGCAATGCCCCACGAAGCTTCTGTATTTTTCAGGAATTTAGAAGGTTAGAAAGTGTGATTGTGATGTACATGGTCTGCTGAAAAGTCATCAGTAATAATGATAATTTTATTTTGTTTTAAATTTTACAGCTAGCCAATAAAAAATATCCTCAAGCCACTGTTGGCTTAGTTGTACCACCATAGTTTGGACTATGGTGATCTTTGTTGAATTCGCTGCAACAGTTTTGTTGCAAATGTTTTAAGCTAAACCAATCACCAGACTTTATTTTCTTCCCACAGGGCTCTAAACGTGTTTTAAGGTCCCATGAGATTGTGCTACAACCCAGTGGATTTGTGGAGACAGATCTCGCCCTTTCTTTCTCACTGCAGGTAAGATCAGTCCGTCAGCGATAGAAATCTTTTTTGTTTTTCGTGCTTAATGACACCAATTGTGCAAAATGGATGTGACTTCTTGGGTTGGTTTCATTCTATACCAGAGGATCCAGAAGATTTCACAAAGACCCTAGAACTAGTGCTGGATTCATTCTTGTTATACAAGAAGCTCAAAGAAGAAGATTTCATGATAACCCTTTAAATAGGCTGTCGAAGAACAACTATTGGAAAAATATTGGAAAATTTCTATTTAGTTATTTTTGGAAAATTGCTGAGAATAGTCTTCTTGAAATTTTCTTGTCATATTATACGTTGTAAGATTGTGTGTAAAAATTAACCTTACAAACAAGGTCGTTATAGAGAAACAACCCTGGAACATCATTTATCTGTACTGGTAATGCATTCGATGTATGTTCCTTCTTGCAAAAAGAAACATGCTCTTTTTTATTGTTTTTATTTCTATTTTTTTCCCAGCCACTTCAGTAAAAAGCAGAACTGAATACTGTATTAGTTTCTTAGTTTCTTGATCATCAGTGACTTCTTTTTTAAGGGAGAAAAAGAAAGAGAAGAAAAAAGTGAAATGTAATGGGAAAGAGTAAAATAGAGATTAGAAGATATGCGAAATATATATCAAGAAAACACAAGACAACACACCCAACATCTTGGCTGCACACCTGCACAAAGATAATGTAGGAAATGAGCTTAAGGTGAATTGAGCTTCTCCCACATCTGTCATTCACAAGGTTATGAGGAAACTTTTACCAAGGTATTTCTCATTACTTGTTAATATTTTGACTGTGCGAAGTGAAAAGTGACACAATAAGTGAACATTCAGAGGAGTTCAAATTGATTCATAAAAGACTATGCAATCATTTATTTACACAACTTGAACAGATCATAAGTTACACTTGATTGTGGTTATTCCTATAACAGTGTCAGAGTTAAATGGGATAAAACTTGCGTCCGACTTTCAGTCCACATTACTCAGATTACTTATATAGAACAGTAAAAACGTCAGTTCTGATGTTAACAACCAAACAATTTTACTGGCACTTTTAGCTTAAGTGTTGGCAAATCAAAGAAATAAGAAAGAGGAGAAAAGTAATATTAGTGTTCTACTACTTTTATTTTATCAAAGTGTGGGTCAACCGGAACTGCACGTCTTTTCTGGCTCAGGTTCCACATGACATGTCACTCCAAACACGTCAGCTTTACCTGGTGATTGACTTCTTAAGACACCCTTGGGGTAGAAACTGGCTGGCCTCCKATCAGTCAGGRAACTGACGTCGGCTCGCTTTCCGGTCATTGGCGAACAGGTGTTTTTCCAGGTAACTTTGCGTCTGTGTCAGTCCAAGCTAGAAAAATTCAAGCTGTATCCGGTTTCTCCTTCCAAAATAAAATCTCCCCTCGGGAGTTAAAAACATACGCTTAGAGGCTTTTTGGTCATGGTATGTTTTGCGTCCGTCCGCGGACTTTTCAAGGTTTCTTTGGGCAAAGGCAAAGGTGTTTTTTAGATGTTTCTCCAAATCTTTCATGTACTGTTGTGTGTTGTAGGCTGTCGCCATAGTGGTGTCACCAGGTTGGTACAAAAGATGTATGGGGAGTGTCATCTGTCGCCCAGTCATCATCTCGAGGGGAGAGATGTCTGTGGATTTATGTGGAGTGGCCCTGATGGCCATGAGGACCAGGGGGAGTTTCACATCCCAGTCCTTGTGGTTTGCGGCTACGTACTTCATTAAAATACTTACCACAGTTCCTTTTGCTCTCTCTACTTGGCCTGATGCCTGTGGGTGGTAGCCAATATGGAAGTTGGCTTTAACGCCTAGCGTCTTCCACAGTTCTTGCATCACTTCAGCTATGAAATGTGTCCCTCGATCTGAATTCACCCTAATGKGCAGTCCAAACCTTGAGAACACATGGTTCATTAACAACGTAGCGGTGGTTTGTGCTGTGTCGTTTGGAGCTGGTAGACATTCGACCCATTTTGTGAACGCACAAGTTACAGTGAGAAAATATTTATTTCCTCCAGCGGATTTAGTGATAGGTCCAACCCAGTCGATCTGCAGGTCGGACCACGGGAATGTAATCCCTCTGTTCTG